AGACACAAATGATGGTGTTACCATGATCGACAATGAGCCAAGCGATGACAGCGCCAGGCGCGAGCCCTGGGGACGGAGAGAACTGGCTGAGTCGTGGAACCTGACCCTCTTTTCGCTAGGCAGAGAAGTCTCAGTTTGTTCTCCCTCCACCCGGAAGCACGAAAGAACGCCAATTGAATCATGATACATTTGAGCGCTCGGGCGCGCACGCAAGAATGGAGGAAGTCCCCGTAAAGCGGCCGGACTGGCCGGAAACACACCCGCAGAAAAAGGGCGGCGCGTGGCAACCGTCGTCGTGGTTGAGAGATTTCCCGGCAGAACACGGTGAATGGTGCCCTGGGCCACGCGCCCTGACCAAACCAGCGGGGTGAGCAGGGCTGACGTTCTGAAGTCTGAAGGCTTGGATAGGACCAGTGAGGATGTGGCTGAGTTCCCTCAGGGTCAAGTCCGACTTGTCGGATGGGACCAGGTAGCGAGCTAGCGGTATGATTGAGCTAGCGGGATGATTTGCAACCGTGGTATTCTCAGAGGAGCAACTTCAGCCGTTTATTCTTTTTTTCTAGCCATGAGAGTTGGAGACCTAGATGAGATTCCGAAGGTCCAAACTACAAGTAACTGGAGGGAAAGGCAATGATACTCTTGGAAAACTGACTACGCCCTCCTTACCTAGGTTTCTCTACTCCACTTGTAAGAAAAGGTGCCCCAGAAGAGAACGATGTTTTCCAATGCATTTTTTGTCATGGGTCACATACCTACATCTTTTGTGGCCACTAGTCATGGCCAGTGGTCATAACCATCATGGTTTCCCACTACCAAGACCAGGCATGCTGGTCATAAATCACAGCTGTTATGTTCTCCAGCCACAGCCTATGAGAGTCTACCACCGGGAGAGGGTCACCACCGTGTGCAGCCTGGACGCTCAAAGACTCGGCGTGAGTGGGGGCGACGGAGACGGTTCGACGTTGGGAGACCTCAGTGATGACCCCTCAGTGAGACCTGGGCCACTGACCTCAGCGGACTCCCTTGGAGAAACACTTGGTCCGGCCCGAAGACATACTTGAGGCTTTATGCTTCACTGAAGGACGCCGAAGAAGAGCAACAAGGTGTCAGCGGTAGCAGAAGGTTCTACAGACCTTTCCCTTCACTGGTATCTCAAACTCAAGCCTAGATGCGCCAAGGGAAGAACTTCAGGAAGCAGGATCGCACCCATCGCTTAAACCAGCAATCCTTTTTCAACACCTTTTCCAGACTCAGACACATGACCTTCCCAACTATCCGCCACCACTGCCTACACAGTGCGCACTGCACACTCTTAGCGTGCCCACGCAATGGCGGTGCGGCTCGGCCGTTGGCTCCCTGCCAGGTGCGCAGAGAGAAAAGAAACACAAGTTACCCAAGGGTTTGGAGCCAAAATTTGGTTGTAGGTGGGTGGAGCCATAGCAAATGGGTTCAAGGGTTCCTATAGGTACTCATAGAGATCCTCAATATTGATCACCCTGTAGATGTCTCCAGGGGTTACCAGTCAAGGGTCAGTAGTCGGGTCTTTTTCCACAGTAGTCAGCCTGTTGAGCGGACTGTATGGGAATTGATGCACACCTTGAAATGCCAGCCTCCACTGACTTCGTCACCTACACTGACTTCCTGTGTGGGAGAATAGGAAGACGTCCCTGACGCAGATGGGTTTCGTCTGTTTTTGGGTCTTCTACAGTAGCAGGTTTGTCACCCATTTTCAATGCACACCTACTTTTGGAAGGTAGCGGTCGCCGGTCGCAGACCTCGAATAGCGTCAAAAACCATATCTCTCATGGAAGGACTCAGACCCGTCAGACCCACCCGTGACACGTCATGGTGACTCACCCGCTGCTTCTCCGTGGCGCGAGGCCGCGAGCACCCTTGGCGCGACACCGGGCCAGCGAGGCTCGTCGCTGGTTTCGTCGGTGCCGACGGTAGCGTCCCCGGTTGCGACGTGAACGTAGCGATGGCTGGCCTCCCACCCTACTAGTCGATGGCCAATCTTCGGGCTGATCTATTGTCAAACGCCGCGGAGATCTTTAGAGAATTGGTGATTGACCGACACGCACCGGGGATCTTTCGAGTCGAAGCCCGGTGCTCTTCAAGCTGGTCGGACACTCAGAATCAGAGGGTTGTCATGAATTCGCGAACCAAACACCGCTGGAAGAAAGATGTGGGGATCGACCCAACCCACCCCCCTCAGGGCTCCGCTCCCCGCCGCCGACGGAACTGGCAGGCGTCGCAGGAGCCCCTGCGGAAGGTGATGCTGACCAACATCCATGCCATGGAGAAGGCGGAAGCCTGACCTGGCAACTGGGCGGGTGGTATTTGTTGATGAATGTCATTGTGTTGGTTGTATTTAGATTTAGATGCTTTTGTGTGTTTTTTGGACGCTACTTTTCCCCAACATGTTTGGACTGTCACGTGTCCCCAGCTCTTGCTTCGATATCTGAGGGAAAAGCCCATCACATCAGAGGAAACAGGACCAAACAATTGAGGCATGTTTTTTTTCCACCCCAAAACATGGCGTCCCATGGGGGGAGGGCTGTTCGATTGCACGAAGAGTTGTGAGAATCGATTAGCAGATGAATCGTGTTCATCGTCGCCACAGAAAGGAGTGCCTCAGTGGGCTCGTCCGTCGCACGCAAAAACTAGGCTCAGGTCTCAAAAAGCAAAAGCAGTCGCTGATAGCCTGGAATGTGAGAGATGTGTGTGGGGTCAGATGCCGCTTTTGATGTTTGTCCATGAGGTCTTCGCTGTTGGAACCCATAACAAAGATAGATGTGGTCCAAGATCTGTGGTTGACGCATGATTCCTCCCACTTGTTTTGGTTCTGCTTCTGCGTGAATGGTGAATTGTGCCTTCCCAACATATCCCAACATATCCCAACAATGAAACCAGCAATTCCAGTTCATTCTTCGTTGAAAGGGAAGAACCCACAAACTACTAACCACCTGGCAAACATAAGCATCCGCTATGTATGACCTCCAGCAGATTGAAGTCCAAGCCGGAACATCTCAAGCCTTTTCAACCACGACATAGTTTTACTATCACTATGTTGATGCTGATTCTAAGATATTCTATGGAGTTCGGAAGTGTGATGGCGTCTGACTCACAATTGACTCTCAATATGACTCATAGGCTATAGGTATAACTCATCAATCCCATGTAGACTGTTCATGAATGACCCCCCAATATGGACATGTAAAGCCATTCTGGATCCGGCTGGTCTTCTGAATCAATTTGTCTTAACATCCATTATAGAACCATGTCGTTCAGATGCTTCGAGGGCTACGCGTTGACCAACGCGTCAATCCCATCCCATCCACCAGGACACCATCGCTCCATCGTTCGTCTTCTCCAGGACCTGCAGGCCTTGGAGCATCCCATCAGCGATTCAGCCAAGAAGACGGACCCGAGAAGACCGAAGACGTTCGTGGCTTCCAGACGTGTGACCGGGTAGACACGTGGACCGGTGTTGTTTCGTTTCGGTGTAGACACCGTGTGTCAACACGAACCAAGCAGGAGGTCCTCCTTGCTCCCCCTGCGGTGATCAGAACCGCATCGGAGATGCGTTTGGGAGCCATCGAACACGCCGGTGCCGTAGTGAAGACACTTCAGAGGTGCAGTTGACTCAGCTACACAGGGAGCTACATAGGTCACAGATCACAAGTTCTACGCCGCCATGCCACAGTTCTTTTTAAAAGGCTTCTCCTTTTTCAGATCCGCTTAAACTTCGGGAGGGGAAACCATGGCATCTCCTCGACTCGTCCTGGACTCCGCCATGCTTTTCGCGGAAGAACACCGCAACGAGCGACCAGGACTTGCATCGCATCAAGCGGAACTGGGGTTTAAAGTTCGGAGGCCCCAGGAGGGTCGGACGGGCACCGTGGAATTCCGGACCTGCTCGGAATGAGCGAACCAGAGTGAATCGGATGAGAATTGTCATGCCGTATGCAGCTGTGACCCAGGAGAGACACACAATGTCATCAAGGCTTGGGCTGACAGGTAGATCATGTTTTCGAGACTCACTCCACACTGACTCCGCGGCTCCAGCATGGCTTCGATTCAGATCCCTTGAGCCGGAATCACCACAATCACTACAACCTCGAGCTACTACCATCATACCTTCAATGGTCACCGCATACCACCAACACTAGATTCAACGTCCCGTCCACCTTTGTTCCGCCGTCCGCGCACCGCTTCGTCGCCCGGTCTCCGCCGGTGCCGCCAGCCGATGGCGGGCGCAGCGCAGCTGCGGCGCAGCTGAAGCTCCCGCCGGGCCGAAGAAAGCGGGCAGAAGGTGGAGACGGAGATGGTTGGGGTTGATTGGGTGCGACTAACACGGTTCAAAGGTTTCAAACAAGAAATTTGGGACGGGTAAATTAGACTGACTATTCTGCCCACCCTTAAGCCTCGTTTTGGGGATTGTCCTAGTTTGTGCATTTAGTGAGCTGGACATCATGCGATGCGCACATGTGGTGGGGGAAATGGGATGAACATCGCAGGTGATTCTCACCGTGATCCTTCTCCCATCGTCAACCTTCCGCAAAAACACGGGGAGCTTCGCAAGATGAAGAACAAACCTGCGGAAGAACAAGCTCGTCAGAATCTTGAATCCGTTATTTAAAGAAATGAGGGTGCCTGGATCCACCGGAACAAAAACGCACCTTTCCCTCACGCCCGTGGCTCGTCGCACGTGAACCGGGTCACACCGACGGCATGGGTTCCACGTCGAAGCCGGTTCTTCCGATTCGACGTGTGAGACATCACTCACAGCTTCCGCCTGCGACCCTGGACATCCCTAAACCCTCAAAGTGCACTGAAAAACTGACCAGGTGCACTAACACTCCTTCAACGCTTTCGCACTCCTTTTCACGTTTCGCACTCCCGCCCCTCTTCCGTTTCGACGTCGCCTCCGACGAGACGATCCTCTTCGGTCCGCCTGTGCGGCAGGGAGCTGTTGGTAGCGGGTTGGGTTGAAGCAGATGGCTCCTGGGCCAAAGCCGATGGCATATTTTTTCTTTAGTTGGTCGTTAACCGGAGCAGATAGGAAGATGGACAAAATCTGAGTTGCCAAGAGGATTCAAGGGATTGCTACTTTCCCTAATTTGCTACCCCAAAGCCTAGACTCAGCTGGTAAGCGCAAATCAGCTGAGGCCCACATGCAGCTGCGCACTGTCCGGCAGCTGGTGGGACGCTTCTACATTGCCCACTGGACTGCTTTGCATCTTCCGGTGGCAAAAGATTAACATTTGGACGAAAACCACCATACTTTTTGACAAACCACTGCATTCTTGGAAAGTTTTAGCAGTCAAGTCTAGTACCCTTTGCCATTCTTCAGGGTTTGGCGAGACAGTCTATCACCCCCTTGATTTTACAGGTCAAGTGGTTCTCAGTCTCAACATGTTTGGGAGTCGTCCCATTCGACCGTACACTGTTGTTCTCTGCAGCCCAATAACACCCCTCAAGCATCCAAGCCCCCAAGCATCCAGATGATGGGCCCAAGGGCTTTTACATGGCTTTTACAGAAGCTTGAGATTCAATTCAGCTTGGGATGTCTGGATTCTCTGTTCAGTCTTCGATTGCAGGGTGTCCGGTGATCTTCCCCATGAGCAGTCGAACACTGCTTCGTCTTGACTCGGTTGAATGCTCTTTCAACGTTGCACAGTAAGTCTTGGGAGTTCAATACAAGTTGGCGGGCAACCGATGGGGAACTTGAAAGATCAACTGGACTTCGACCTGGAGGTTGCTCCCTATGCACTCTAAAAAGTACTAAGGGTCCACTGGGTGGCTCTTGACTTCCCCAGGCGGGTGCTCTTTCACCTCCAACGGAAAATGTCCGGGTCCGGATGAACAAATGCCATTGATAGTCGTATTCTCGTCGTTTTTCTTTTTCCAGGAGCCGAGGGCCGTGTGGGCCTTCCTGGATCATTTCGGCCCTCAGGTACTACATCCATGGCCTTCGGCCTTCTCCTCGCCAAGGACCTGGTTCCTCGCCAGTGGGCTCCAGTCGTTTGGCCAGGGCCTTCTCCTCAGTGACTTCGCCGGCATTCGGCAGAAGGCGGTAGAACATGGCGAGGGAACATCGAGATGTTGGGGTGGGAGTCATCCTTATGTCATGGATTCTGAATATTTCATGACGAGCATGTTATAGTTGGAAGAAAACATGATACTTGTAATTGATAAGCACATTTGTTGTTTGATTTAACGATGGAGGAAGCCCCAAACACCTCCAATCAGACAGTCCTGTCAACTCCTCCGAGCGCGGTGTCCGGCGTGGACGGCGCGTCCAACGTGTCGTCGGAGCTGTTCCAGCGCGCCAAGCGCGGGACCCCGCGACGCCTAGTGCGGTGGGGAGGTGTGATTGGGGCAGATGATTTAGTTGGAAGGAGACGGCCTGCAAGGAATCCACCAGGCGGCATCACACATCTTTTTCTCAGTTTTATGGTGGCCTCCACTGTGACTCCACCACAAAAGACATGTAACTATTTTGTGAGTACAGCAAATGATGCATTGAATTACAATCTGAAAGATCTAGACACAGTAAACGTATCCTGATAGCCACGCATCTTGATTGCTTCACCCCTTGCAAGATGTGCAACCTAGGGGCCATCTTCATCTCTTCCAATTCCATTTTTCTTCAAACTGAGGTCTCTGCAAAAGAATCGTCTTCCTTTTGGAGGGGTTTCGACACTACCCCCCTGAAATAGTGATTGACTCAGTTCGTGTCTCCCAAAATGATGTGAGCCAATTGCAAGGAAGTTGGCGGAATTCTATCGAATCGACCCAGAGCGTCTGGGATGCAGTGTGTTTTGTGGGGCACACGCACAGGGTGGCCGTGGGATACCTTGCGGGTGGCTGGGTGGCCGTGGATGTCCATTCTCCAATCCACTCCCGTCTTGTGTGCAACCCTCTGAGCCTCCCAAAATGAGTAGGAATCCCTTTTCAAAAGATATTTTCAGTTCGGTTCTCTTTCGGCGCTTGATCTCAGAGCCTGTGGCTACTTCTGCATTGCATGGTCACAAGAGTAGTACTGGCATGGAGTTCCTACGAGGTTCACAACCACCTTCAAGACACACAAGGGTGAGAGTAATGTCCTTGCCAGTTTAAGTACAGGGAAGCCACAGTAAAAGTATATAGAGTCTGCAACTCACATGTCATTTGATTAGACTACGTGTCCTGAGACATGGAACAGATCTGCCAAAAACTCTACCTCGTGGACTTTTCTTTCTTACGATTCCTTCATCTACCGGAAGCCGCATTCTTCTTCCACGCCGAGGCGGAACAGATGGAGCGGATGACCCGCCTGGACGCCACTCCCACGCTGCCAGCGCCGTGTGCAGCGCCCCGGTGCCGGGCACGGCGAGCGGCGTCCGCGGGGTTGGCTTCCGACTGGACGGACTGAGGCGAAGACCACTGAGGGGGGGGACGACGCGGCGACCGGGTGTGCAGCCGGAGCGTCAAACGATGTGTCGGGATGTGGCGAAACCACAGTTTGGAAGGGCCCTTTAGTTGTTCTTCACGGGTGCTGACCTGGTGACCGACGAGGAAGTACGCAAGACTATAAAGTGGCCAAACAAAGCACCCAGTTTGGGCCGTGGAACACAGGCGACAGGTGAAACCACTGGAGAACTATCACTGGCAAAGCAACGTGGGAACGATGCCAGGAACGGTGGAGCAACTGGAGCAACGGGGTGCAGGGGTGCTGCTCTAGCCGGGTCCTTGGACATGACCAGTATTGGATGCTTTGTTCGATGAGATTTGCAAAGCCAGCTTGACGGACGTTTTCTGACTTGCAGCCTTCTTGTTATATTGCCTGCAGAATAAATTGAGGGTTGCAAAGTCCATGCTTAGGAAGACCTCGGTAGCAAGCATGACCTTCTCGTCGCAGCTGGCCCAGCTTCTCAGCATACATGAAGCAGTTGGTGACCGAGTCCTGGTTCCTTTGGAAGAACCCACCAGGATCTACTCGTAGTTCCCAGTTTCACCAATCCTTGTAAGCCAACTACTTCAGAATTTCAGAAACAGTCCTTGGATCAACTCAGATCGAAGTTTCAACTCCACCTGAACTACAATCCTCAGCACTGGACCTCCACTTCCCACTTCCCGCACTGCGTCCGCGTCTCTCGCGCCTCTGCCGCGTGCGCGTCTCTGCCATGGGCGCCGGCGCTTCGGCCGACGTCGCCGCTTTGGACGACGAGGCATTGCTGGGCGTCCTGGCGGCGGACGTGGGCCGCGCCAAGCGACTGCTGGACGTGGCCGCGCGCGCCCAGCGGCTCCTGCGGCTCGGGTGAGAAGGGGAGTGCGTGGTGGAATGGCGGAATGGTAGGAAATGGTGGTTGAGAGAGGGTATGTCACATGTCATTTTCTTTTCTTGAGAGGGAAGATAGGTTTCAGATGAATTTCTTCTCACATGGAAGACGAGTTTATATTACCGTATTCTTTTGAAGAAGAAGAAGAAGAAGAAGAAGAAGAAGTGGAAGTGTTGCACCTGTCACGCTTCTGAGTGAGGCCAGTGGCAGAGGCACTGAGTGTGGAAGCGCTGCAAGAAGGAACACAAGGAGCGCAATCGTCAGCACTGGCATTTGCTGAAGGCAGCACGTTTGGCCGGAAGGTCTGCGTTCATGGCATGGACGGCTCAACTTTTGACCTACCAGTTGGGGAGACCGCAACCGTAACATGCACTTGCGGATGGTGAGTTTTTCTATTCTAGTGTTTGTGACTTCTATCATGCTCTCTCTCTCTCTATCTGTCTTTTAGCACAATATGAAATTTCGTATCAATTTGGTGCTTTTGAAAGATGAACCATGCTTTTGGGCAACAAGAAGCAATGACCACCCCCCCTAGGCCTGGCGATCTGAGCAAGAATCACGACCGCTCGCACAACATCTCACCACAGAAAAAGAGGGATTTCCCTTTCGAGCCACTCTGGGGACGGATCTTTGAGATCCTGAAGCACTCGGGAGTTCCTCAAGTCCCTTTGCACTTTCTCTGGATTTGCTCTCTCTCTCTCTCTCTCTTTCATTTTTAGACATTTTCACTTTCGAGACACTCCCTGGACCGGATTCCAGGCCTAGAGCTTATTCAAATGTTTACACCATGATACACATGCCTGCCAAAGAAGATCATGTGACATGCAACACGTGGGTTCTTCATCGGTCCCAAGCCAGTTGTCTCCATCTTCGAGTCGATCTTCGATCTGAGGTGGAGGATGTCTCCACTCTCATTGCCTCTCGCGGCACTCGCCTTTCACCCGGCCTTTGCCTGGTGCTGACCTCCGGTGGTACCGTCTTGGACGATTCGAAGCCACTACTGGAACAGCTGTGTGGGGAAGAAGTCACCTACATTACCCGGGAAGTCTCCGCAGGAGAAGCCGCCGTGAGCTTGCAGCGTGCCTTGGCCTCTGAGACGAACAATGCAGATGTCCTGCGTGCCGGGGACTTAAGAGCCATCCAGGGCATTACGTCATTGAGCTTCGGCTTTGCATGGAACCAGAGCTTGGAAGGGGTACCCATGTCAAGCAGGTTGCAGACTTTGACGTTCGGCAGTGACTTCGACCAGAGCTTGGATGGTGTGGCACTGCCAAGCAGCCTACAGACTCTGATCATGGGCAGGTATTTCAACCAAAGCTTAGCAGGAGTGATTTTACCAAGCAGTCTGCAGACACTAACCTTTGGAGAGAGTTTCAACCAGAGCTTGAAGGGTGTCGCTTTGCCAAAACACTTGCAGACTTTGACCTTCGACCGCTATTTTAACCAGAAATTGGACGATGTCACATTGCCAGGTAGCTTGCAGACGTTAACCTTCGGATATGAATTCAACCAAAGCTTGGCCGATGTTCAGTGGCCAAACAGCTTGCGAACGTTGACCTTGGGGGAGCGGTTTAACCAGAGTTTGGAAGGTGTCAGGTTGCCGAGCAATCTGCAGACTTTGATCTTCGGCTTCAAATTTAACCAGAGCTTAGAAGGTGTCACCTTGCCTCTCAACCTGCAGACGCTGACCTTTGGTTGGGAATTCAATCAGAGCTTGGAAGGGGTCACGCTGCCAAGCAGCCTACGGACCTTGGCTTTTGAGTTTGATTTCGACAAGAGCCTTCAAGGGGTCACACTTCCTAGCAGCCTCCAGACATTGACTTTTGGAGGTTCCTTCAACCAGAGCTTGCAAGGTATTAGCTTCCCGAAGGGTTTGCAGAATTTGACCTTCGCCGAGGAGTTTAGCCAGAGCTTAGATGGTGTCACATTGCCAGATAGCCTTGAGACTTTCACCATGGGCAACAACTTTGACCAGAGCTTGAAAGGTGTCACATTGCCAAGCAGCTTGCACACTTTGACCTTTGGTGCCAACTTCATCCGGTGCTTTGAAGGAGCCAGACTGCCAAGCAACCTGCGAACCTTGACTTTTAGCAATAGTTTCAACAACAGCTTGCAGGGCGTCACGCTGCCAAGCAGCTTGCAAACTTTGGTTTTTGGTGATGGTTTCAACACCCGGCTGGCAGGTGTCACCTTGCCAAGCAGCCTGCAGAACTTGACCTTTGGCCGTACTTTCAACCAAAGCTTGGAAGACATCACACTGCCACTCAATCTGCAGACTTTGACTTTCGGCGCTGAGTTCGACCAGAGCTTGGCAGGTGTTTCTTTGCCGAGCAACCTGCAAACTTTGACCTTTGGCGAGAGGTTCAACCAGAGCTTGGTAGGAGTCACATGGCCAAGCACCTTGCACACTTTGACTTTTGGAGCTTGTTTTGACAAGAACTTGGATGGTGTAACTCTGCCAAGCAGCTTGCACACCTTGAATTTTGGCGATTGTTTTAACAATAGCTTGCAGGGTGTCACCTTGCCAACCAGCTTGCAAACTTTGACTTTTGGCGATTGCTTCAACACCAGCCTGGCAGGCGTCGCATTGCCAAGCAGTTTGCAAGCTTTGACTTTTGGCCGTGCTTTTGATCAGAGCTTGGAAGGTGTCGCTCTGCCAAGCAACCTGCAGACTTTGACATTCGGCCGCTTATTCAATCAAAGCGTGTCAGGTGTCCTTTGGCCAAGCAACCTGCAGCATTTGACCTTTGGCGTGTGGTTCAACCAGAGCTTGGCAGGTGTCACACTACCAAGCCACCTACAGACTCTGACGTTTGGCAGTGACTTCGACCAGAGCTTGCAAGGTGTGACCTTGCCAAGCAGTTTGAAGACCATGGACTTGGGCTACTTGTATGACCACAGCCTGGCAGGGGTTAGATTACCTCGCACTTTGCAGCAACTCAGCTTAGGAGATTTCGGGATCGCCACAGCTGCACTGGCCGAAGAGAACAAGATCGCTGGCCGATGACCCGGGTGTCAAAAGACTGCAGTGGTGGACACAACTTTTGGTTCAACCGTTTGGAACCAAACACTATCATACACTATATTAAGAAAAACATGATTTCAAAAAGGCATTATACACTACAAAAGCCGTGTTTTCGGCGTACCCAGGTACCACCAGTGCCAGGTGCACAACTCGCGCTGCGAGTGAGGAGGGTGTTCTTCGCCAAGCTCCTTGAGCTCGAAAGGCTCAACAAAAAGGTTAGCATGAGTAGGATACTTTGGGTTAATACTTTAAGGTATCAACCTCATAGGTAGGTGAATACTTCTATTTATTTGAAGTTATGATATAGGATACTACTATCTTATACTGCCGAAGGGTTCACTTTTATGTAAGTGCATTCAATTTTCGGCAGTTCAAGATACCTGTTCGCCGGGCATGAGCAAATTAGCTTTTAGCCACGTGTGCCACGACTGACTTAGGATCATCGTCGCGGATGTACGGTCACGGATGATGGCACGCGAATTTGTTAGGAATGTTAGTAAAGAATTTCATCTATTCGTGGACATGAATCCGCTAGAGCATGTCCAGGAAGAAAGCCAGCCATTCTTGAATCGCCTGGTTAGTTTATTGGGGGATCAGCAGCAGATGGCACTCCACTTGATCAACCGCAGCGATATGTATCCCTTCAGTAAGTGCTTGTGATCTTCATCGCCGCATTTTTGCCAGACTTCGTCGCGCCCCTCCCTTGAAATCGGTTGAAGCCGCGGGCTGAACACCCCCAAGGCTGGCCCAGAAGAGCCTATGCCAGGGCCAATGCTTGCCATGCCTGGTCGAATCGCAAGCCTTGCAGGGAGGAGGGGCTGCCCAGCCCGCCTTTGAACCGGCCCCGGTGTTGTCTTCACTTATATAAATATATATATATACAGCATTTTTAGCAGAGTTTCCAAACAAAAATATTGATAAGATCTTGGCGAGCTTTGATGGGGTTGGGCATGTGTCCGAAGCAGATCATGGATCCACATGGTAGTTGATCAAGGGACGATGTTTCTTTGCAATGGACTTTAGCAATGCCTCATCAGCAAAAGGCTTTTCATACCCACAGTCATGAACACTGACCTGTGCTTAGTAGGGAATGAGGGAATGGATCCAATAGAATCTCTATTGGGGGCTCATTCCCTTATTCCCTACTAAGCACCTGTCAGAGCATGGAGCGACTTCTCCAAACCGTTGCCTTGGAATCCGTTGAGCCAACAGAATCTGTTGGAGCTCATCAGATCACAAAAAAGATCCGTGAACGGTCCATGCTTTCACACCCGTGATCAGTTCTTCTGGCCGCAAAAAAACGCCGCCCCTGGAAACTGATAAACATCGCTGACCCATCTGAAGCCTTCGATCGCCTGCGCCGTTCCACCGAACGAGTCGAAGGAACTGCCGACCGGCGAGCGCCATCGCCGAACTGGAGGCAGCGACTGGAGGCGCTGGGGCATCTGTGCCGATCGGGCGAAGCCAAAAAGTTGAACGTTTGAAGGATGCGCTTGGTCCAAGCTCAATGACTCAATGACTCCACAACCCTTTTGGAGGCTTTCTACGGCGATGTTGCGGCCATGTTGCAGCTGACACCAGCTTGACGGCCCATTTCTGCTGTGCTACTGGTTCTTTCATAGCAAGCTCATACCAAAACTCAAGCTCATCAGATGTTGACCAAGTCAAGCTCATTGCAAGTCAATTTTTCATCCGAAGACACCGCCTGCATCAAGTGACCCCCTCTATTGCCTCCATCGCCATGGGCGCGGGGCCTGTGGGCGCCTCCATCGTGCGCTGTCCACGGCTGGGCCGATCGAAGCGGTGGCCCGACCGTGAACATGCAGCGATGACACCGACGTTGGTCGGACGTTTTTTTTGTTTTCTTCCCGAAAGCTGTTTAAGGTCCCGAGTTTTCGCGAACGTGAAGAGCTTGTGAACTGATGATAAGAATAGACCCCAAACAGTTTCAGAAACGATTTGTTGGGACCAACATTAGTCAAAAACGATTTCTTGGTACATCCTACCTTCTCCCCCAAGAGTATATTGCTTAATTAATGATTTTTGTCGGCATCGACATCGTTAATTGTTCGGCCACGAGAGAAGACAAGAGAAGACCCGGACACAGAGCCCGGCCACAGAGTTCAGGGCCTCGGCCAGTCAGTGTGTCCAGCTCTTTTTTTCCTAAGATAGAACCCCAACAGTAAACTGTTTGGAGAACTACTCTTCTTTAGGGACGGAGTTTTTCCCCACATCTTAGTGTGGGGTTCTTCTTTTCTAAGTCTCACTCCGCCTCTTCCCGGCGCCTCCTCCCGCCCCTCCGCTCCTCCGCTCCTCCCACACACCACTCATCTCACACACCACTCATCTCACACACAACTCATCTCACACACCACTCATCACAGACCACTCATCTCACACCACTCATCTTACACTACTCATCTCACACCAGTCATCACACACACCACTCATCTCACACCACTCACCACACACTACTCATCTCACACCACTCATCACACACACCACTCATCTCACACCACTCATCACACACACCACTCATCACACACCACTCATCACACACACCACTCATCACACACCACTCATCGCACACCACTCATCTGACACCACTCATCAGACACCACTCATCTGAGACCACTGACTCGCTCCGTTAGAGGGTCTGGTGGTTGCTTGGTCGGCTCTGGTCGGCTGTGGTCGGCTCTGGTCGGGTGTGGGCGCCGGCGACGCTGTTCCATAGTAAATCGCAGTAGATCTGGCTCCGTTAGAGGGTCTGGTGGTTGCTTGGTCGGCTCTGGTCGGCTCTGGTCGGGTGTGGGCGCCGGCGACGCTGTTCCATTGTAAATCGCAGTAGATCTGACTCCGTTAGAGGGTCTGGTGGTTGCTTGGTCGGCTCTGGTCGGCTCTGCAGATCTAACACTGGCAGTGTTATTAAAGAAGACACTGCAGGATAACCCCTGTGGAGCTGGAAGCTGAGAACTGGCGACTTTGTAGTACAACTTTAGTACGCGGACTAGCTGGGGAGCTGGAAGATGAGAACTGGCGACTTGGCAGTACAACTTTAGTACGCGGAGTAGCTGGGGAGTGGGAAGATGAGAACTGGCGACTTGGTAGTACAACTGTAGTACACGGAGCAATCCGTGAGCTGGAAGCTGAGAACTGGCGACTTTGTAGTACAACTTTAGTACGCGGAGCAATCTGTGGAGCTGGAAGCTGAGAACTGGCGACTTTGTAGTACAACTTTCGTACATTATGCCCCATATTGCGGACGTGCGACAACCGCTGGTGTTGTTGGCTAGTTGTGGCTGCGCACACCTGTGTGCACAATACCTCGTACATCCGTCGTGCACATCACTCTCTTACACCTTCTCTCCCACCCCTCTGTTGTCGGAAGCTGATATCACTTCCTGACAAGGCCGTGTTGTAGAAGCTATTGAGACTCTGACTGCTCTGTGCTTTAGAACCTTCAGACTCGTAAAGATTCATATGTGGGGTTATCCGGTCTTTTTTACAATTTTTAAGAGTTCGTGGCCGACGGCTTGGAAGAGGATGAATGGTGCCATGGTGGCCGTCTCAGCCTTACGGCGTTCAAGCGACAACTGTCCCCATTGTTTGCAAAGGGTGAGGCTGGTGTTTTTACAAAAAACAACCAATTCATTAGGCTATTGAGGTCTCCTGACTTTGACATGATGGATGGTCAAGATTGATTTTCCACCGCACTGGGCTTTCAAGATTCCTTGATGCGTCCAGTCATCTGGGTTTGGTAGGTGTGGCACCAACAAATTTAGTAGACCAGCAGTTACGACAAAGGCCTCCTGTTACTGACAATGAGCGCCCGCACAAGACTCAAATTCCCCACCACCTGAGACTTAGAAACCCGAAAAAGACATCCTGCAAGTGGACATCGCATGATACAGCATGATCTCTTGCAAGAACCATGTTCGCCTCCTCCTCTCCTGGCAATGGGTGCCAGGCCGGACGAGGCCGACTCGACGGAGGAGCGCCCTCCACGCGGCCGTCGCTTGAGCATCCATGGCATGGATGGCTCCACGTTTCATTGGACACTTGAGGAGTCCCCGACGGCGGCGCGGAATGAGGGAGGATACGTTTCCTTGCGTGATGCCTTGTGTGGTGTTTGATTTGGCTTAGAATGGATGCTTGTGTTGGTTGCTAAGTAAGATAGTCGAAGGGTTTTGCTTCTCAAGGATGGTTCTTCTTCCTCCCCAAGGAGGCTTCATTACCACTCATGCTGCAATCATCTCGACTCTCGACGTTTGTTCGGGGTTTGCGTCGACTGCGCCCAAAACCAAGGTGGACGCTCTCTCCAAGATCATCACGGCCAACTGCGGCGCCAAAGCCGGCCGGCGACTGGTCCTGACCTCGGGTGGCAACGTCTTGGACGATTCCAAGCCGCTGCTGGAACAGCTTTGTGGTGAAGAGATCACCTACGTGATGCAGCAAGTGTCTGCAGGAGAGGCCGCAGTGAGCTTGCGCCGTGCCTTGGCGGAAGAAACCAGAGGCCGTTTGAGGGCTTCTGACGCGAGTGCGATGGATGCGATTGCCTCATTGACTTTGTTCCAACAAAGCTTGAAAGGTGTCACGTTGCCAAGCAGCCTGGAGACATTGAAGTTCTTTTGCAAACAAGCAATCGTTGACGTCACTTTGCCAAGCAGCCTACAAACCTTGACATTTGGCAGTCACTTCAACCAGAGCTTGGCAGGCGTCGCATTGCCAAGCAGTTTGCAGACTTTGACCTTCGGACGGAGCTTTGACCAGAGCTTGGAAGGCGTCACATTGCCAAACGGCCTACACACTTTGACCTTTGGCGAAAAGTTCAACCAGAGTTTGCAAAATGTCATGCTGCCAAGCAGCTTGCAGACTCTGTCTTTTGGTTTCCATTTCCGTCAGAGCTTGGCAAAGGTGATCTTGCCAAGCAGCCTGCAGGCATTGACCCTTGGAAGTACACAAAGCTTAGAAGGTGTCACATTGCCGACAGGCTTGCAGAACTTGACCTTTGGATATGAATTCAACGAACCTCTTGAAGGTGTTACGCTCCCCAGTGGCCTGCAGACTTTGACCTTCGGCTGGCGGTTTAACCAGAGTTTGGAAGGTGTCACCTTGCCAAGCAGCCTGCAGACTTTGACCTTCGGGAACCATTTTAATCAGAGCTTGGAAGGCGTCATGTTGCCAAGCAGCTTGCAGTCTTTGACATTCGGAGGGAGCTTTGACCAGAGCTTGGAAGGTGTCACCTTGCCAAACTGCCTACACACTTTGACCTTCCGCGAAAAGTTCAACCAGAACTTACAACGTGTCATGTTGCCAAGCAGCCTGCAGACCTTAACATTTGGCAATGCGTTCGACCAAAACTTGGCGGGCATCGCGTTGCCAAGCAGCCTACAAGTTTTGACCTTCGGCGGCAAGTGCAACCAACGGTTGGCAGGTGTCATGCTGCCAAACAGCATGCAAGCATTGACCTTGAGCAGCTACCAGGACTTGGAATCTGTCGCATGGCCAAGCAATTTGCAATCTTTGACCTTTGGCTACGAATTCAATCAGAGTTTGGAAGGTGGTACATTGCCTAACAGCCTGCAGACATTGACATTTGGTCGTGACTTTGACAAGAGCTTAGCAGGTGTCACATGGCCAAGCACCCTGCAGAGTTTAATTTTTGGCGACTGCTTCATTCAAAGCTTGGAAGGTGTCACCTTGCCAAGCAGCCTGCGGACATTGACATTTGGCCTCAATTTTAATCAGAGCTTAGAAGGTGTCACGCTGCCCAGCAATTTGCAGGCTTTGACATTTGGGCAGGCCTTTGACCAGAGCTTGGAAGGTGTCACATTGCCAAGCAACCTACAGATTTTGACCTTTGGCCAAAGTTTCAACCAGAGTTTGCAAAATGTTTTGCTGCCAAGCGGTGTGGAGACCTTGACATTAGGGGGAAGGTTCAACTGCAGCTTGGCGGGCCTTGCCTTGCCGAGCAGTTTGCGTTCTTTGAGCTTGGGCTACAAGTTCAACCAAAGCTTGGCTGACGTCATGTGGCCCTTCGCCCTCGAGTCGTTGACCTTCGCCCTGGGCTCGGAATTCAACCACAGCTTGGAAAAGGTCACATGGCCAGTGACCTTGCAACGACTCTGTTTGCAGGACTTCGAGATCCACCTGCACCGCTGAACGAGGAGCCCAGCCTCGGTCGCTGGTGCTCGAACTCGTTGGGATCGGTCGCTGCTGGGCGATCGGTCGCGCGCCGCCTGCGCGAGAGGGGCTGACGATGGAAACGTGGAACATGACATCCACTGGGGCGTGGAAACTTGGCGCCGCCCTCCGAGCCGCATGAACTCGACCTTGTCTCGCGGAGCGACAGAACAGTGGGCCACGTGTTCTGGGACGTTGGGCCGGTCGCGGTCGCGCCACCGGTCGAAGTGGAAGCCGTAACATGATTGCGGTCGAACCGGTTTGGTTTGCTGGGCGATTTCAGTATATAGTACGATATCACTGTTTGTGGGTGGGGGCAATGTGGTGGCTTGCTTCCTTACAGACATGAGGTATCAGTAGGTCCTACCCAATTGCATGGACTTTTTTGTTTTACATGTAAGGTTGTGTATGGCTCAAAGACATGGTAGTCCAGGTTTTCCGTACTAAACGCCTTGCTTGCCCAGGCCTTGGTTCTTGAGCCACACCCACTTGGGCTGGGGTAGGATCAGATTGGTGAGCTTC